ATAATTGTCAGTTTATTTGGGCTACAGCGTAAAAAGGTAAGCTGGTATCGCAATATTGTAATATGATGACGACATTTGGAAACATTCAAGTATTCTTGCTCTTATATAATTTGCTGAAAATTACACATGACCACCGTCAATATCACAGATTTGTCTGAGTCGTAAAGTTTTTTTAATGCATCTGCACAGCTCCTACGATAAGGTACATCGCCCAGAATGCTGTTGTCTTTCGCGACATGTACTTGCAGTGCCCATTTAATCAGCGGGCATCATGATAATTTGCATATCCTGAACTAGTCGGTCATGATTGGTCAGCAGGTATAGCTTTAAGAATACATGAGTCTCTTAGCAGATTTCAGCTGTTGTCAATCAAACGGTTGGATGCGTAAAGTAAATCTCAAGATGACATAAAGTGAACAATAGCAATAATTGACAATAGCCACGCTCTTAATAAAGCGTTTAGCAAATTCGTTTGCAGCGAATTCTTCTGTAGACTGACAGACTCCCGTTGGTCAAAATGTTATCGGAGTTATAAAAATTAATATCATGAAAATAGAAAATAGAAAAATTTAGAAAATACTATGCTGAAGAATAGGCGGTTTAAAAAGCGTTACTTGCGATCAGGCGGTTTTCGAGTGCGAAAGGCTTGCGGTTGCGGACTGACAACAAAAAAACGCCTGATTGAAGGTTATAAAAAGCGGTGCTCAGAAAGCCAGCTAGTCTGTGGTCAAGTGAAATTTTAATTTCATTCAATCTTTGTCTTAAATGTGGTTTTGGCGTGCCCCTGTATCATAGAGAATAAGGAGCGCGAAAAAATGGCCTAACCACAGTTCTATAGCGAGCGCGATGCGTGAGTCACTCGCTTTTACTGGACATTTGTGTTGTCATACTCCACTGAAAAATTTTGGTAGCTAAACAGGGCTTTTTTCCTTGTTTAGCCATCAAGGAGAAGAGTTACGCGATGACAAAAAAAAAAGACAACAACAACAATTGCAAAAGAGACTACGGTGGAACCTGTTAATGCGGCTACCAACGGGCAATGGAAATCTATCCTTATTGACGGGAGTAAAAGCATATCACTCACTTGTACTTCACACTCGCGCTCTTTTACTCCACCGATTAACGCAGTCCGACCAAACAGAAGAAAAAACAAGCAAACTAACCAACAAACGGCCGCCACGAACAGGTTGACGGCCGAGGGAACAGTTACATAATTATTCACAGTTGGATCCATTTTGATTAATCAAAACATGTATATAAATAGTACGGTTTCATTCAATCCAATCAGTTGCTAAAACTTATTTGCAACAACATCTCGAAGCGTGCGAGACATCAGCCAGGCTTTTACGCAACATTATTGAATGATGTCCGCCATGGGGCGGTGGCTTTAATTCGAAATAACGACCGAAGGTAAAACCTACTGTTATGGGTGTTTACGAAGTTGAACGTATTGTAGCAAAACGATTTCAAGGAGGCAGAGCAGAGTACTTCATCCAATGGCAAAGCTACTCCCCGAGTGAAAATACGTGGGAACCAGCCGAGCACTTACCGGAAGAACTCATCACTGCCTTCGAGAACAGATCTGTCGATCCATTTCGCGTCGATGAATACCATCTTATTGCCCCCGTTCTCTATTTATTGCGAGCAAGCGTTTGTGTATTTTTAATTTATAACTTAGGGTCCTTTCTGTTTTCAGATACCTGGACCGCTTAGCTGATTCCCTTAGGCAAAAACTTGAAGTCTCAGAAAAATTAGTAACGTCCATTAAAGTGATGGCTGATAAACGACAGGCGGCCACCATAGAACAGAGAGACTTGGAACCTAAACTTGAAATTATTAGAACTAAAACAAGAGAACTTCAAGAACAGGTAAGACAGCTAAGTTTTTACTTTCAGTAGAATCTGTTGTGTTGTGTCGGCAGGCAGGGAAAGCACGAAGTTTGTTATCAATTTGGAAATAAAAAGCCGTACACTTGTTGAGTTTCGACAATTTGACGTTTCGAGCAGTAGCTTGAATCGTCTGCAGGTGCAAAGGACTCAATGCTAGCGTGCGCTAACCCTTCGAAAGTCATAATTTGTCATTTGATTATTTTAGCTACTTATGACACATAACGCCTTGGGAGAGTAATAGGCCAGGTCTTATTTAAGAAGACAGGAGTTAAAAAGCTTTTAGTAAATATGTGCATCTCGAGTACAGACATGTTCCACAAGTTTGCGTGAAGGTCCTGCGTGTCACCTGCTCTGAGATGTCTCTGACTTCTGCCACACTCTGAAAGTTGAAAGGAAGTGAAGGAAACAGAAGTCCTGGTAATATACCAACCCTTACTCGTAACAGCCAATGGTAGAGGAAATTCAGTCGGCCCAAAGGGCGGAAAAACAAAGAAAGTGGGCCTAACTGGTCGTATGAAAATTGAAAATTGAGTTTAGTTTTGAGCTGATCAAGGAAAAAAAGGGATTCCATAATAAACTTTCTTGGTCAACTGAAAATCATTTTTAGATATATGTAATACCGTATTCCTCGAATAACCACCAACGCTTCAACGAGCCTCCTTCCCCAATAAGCGGCCACCTCCTAGCCCCTAAAATCAAACAAGCGCTCCACTCCTTTTTTCTCACTTTGTCAAACAGTTTGGATACGAGGAAAACCTGTGTCTGTTTATTTCGTATGTAACTTTTTAAGCTTCTGCTAGAATAGTTTCTTAATAAGCACCCCCCTTAAGCTTAGATTTTAACTAAGAGCCCGGGGATTATTCGAGGAAATAGGTGATTGAAATGCACAAAAATATGAAGAACTGACCTACAACTTTTTTCTGTGCACGTTAACAAGAGTTGCTATGTGCTCTTCATTGGAGAAATGTAATATTTACCCAACCATGACCAGCGCTATTATTGCAACATTCATTTTGTTGATTTGTTCCATTGTTAAAAGATCCTCCACAGGAAATATCCTCATTAATCCCGCCACTTCCCCCAGTGTAACCACCACCACCGCCTGGTCCTTTGTTGAATATAAGTAAACCACCGCCACCTCCGAACCCACCATAAAACTTTCCACCCTCTCCCCCCTGAAGATATCCTGAACCTCCTTTTCCCCCTCCTTTAATAGAGCTCGTTGCGTTATGTCCATTACTATGGAAGCCGCTACCACCACCACCTGCAATACAATCAAAAAGTGATCGGTGATTCTCTTACAAATAGCACCCATAAATTTAATTTCTCGCGATAAAACGACGATCCACGGTGTTCCGAAACTTAGTTTAGTTCTTTATTTTTAAAGTTTAATTAGTGGAGATTGTTAGCAACAAAAAAGCTCACGAGGAAAAGTCAGCGTAAAAATGCTGCAATTGACTCTTTATTTGTTTAGTTCTTCTGTTTAATCCAGATCTGCAGTTAACAAATGAGAAGCCTTGTCAAGTTTTTCGATGTCATCTCCTGCGTTATATTTGCGGATCCATAGTTCATTCGATAATTTCCTAAATATGCAGGAGATTTGAAAAGAAAAGAGCAAAATTTAACAAAATCCTAAGTCTTGTATGAGGCGCTTCAAAAGAATCATATAAAAAAATCTTCAAAATTGATATTGAAAAAATTTAATAATTACGGTTTTTATAAATCCTTCAAAATCTGATTATCAGCGACTTACTCTATCATTGGGTTGGAGATAGTGAAGGATGGCAATAGAATGCAACAAATTTCTCAGTATTTATAAAAAGGAAATTCTCCACCAACCAGAATTCACACCATTAGTAAGTCCTCCTTGTCCTTCTATTCCAGCTGACCCCAGTGGCGAGTTGTTCCCTGCATTCCCTGTGGTGTTTATGGACGCATCACATGCCGGATGTTGTTCTGACGTATTTCTGATTCCCCCTCCACCTCCAGCTATGATTAAAGGCGTGTTGTTTCGTCTCACAACAAATGTACCTCCACCACCTCCAGAAGTTTTTAAGTTGGTCCTTCCTTCCTTCTGTTCCTTTTTGACCAACAAGTATATGAATAATCTCATCTTTGGTCAAAATAAAGTTTCCGATCATTCGTACCCCTCTTCCACCGTTCTTGATGATACTGTCCTCACCGTACCCCCCTGAGGCTCCTATTACTTCTATTCTGTATTCGCCAGTGTGTGGCACAGTCCATTGTTGAATACCGCTGGACAATGTAACTTGCCCGTCGTGATCCTGACCTGTGTAGTGATTTCCAATTCGGACTGGACCCATACGTCCACTCTTACCAAGAGTTGTAAACACTGCTGTAAATCCTGTATAATAATCGCAAAATGAAACAGAAAGTTAAGGTACTACTAAGGAATTGTCAAATTGTTTTGGGTACTGCCATTATTGCATACTACCGCTTAAAAAAAATATTCCTGTAAATTCGGCAGAATAAGATAACGAAGCAAAAATCTCCAGAAAATCCCACTAACAAGTAAGACTTCCTAAGTTGATTATTTTCTTCCGAACCCAGTATATCTATATATAAGTATATCTTCATAACGGTATCTTCGAAGTGGCTCTGGTAATGAACATAGAATCTACTTTCAACCGCAAATATGTTGTCACTCTTGCTGGTTACCCCCAGGAAATTGGTGAATTCACCAAGCTGCATAGCTTTCAACGCTGCAAAATGCAAATCTGTTCACATCTTTAAGAAGAAAACTCCTTAAGTTGACCTTGGTTGACCTTGATGGACATCGCTCTAGTGTGTACCTTAAGCATAAGACATAGGCATCACTGATAACCGTGATCTCCAATGGGTAGAGCATGCAGAAGAAATCACCTCAAAGGCCAACAAAACCCTTCGCAAATCAGGCGAGTTTGCCGCGATGTCAATCACGTTTAGATAAGAAAGCTGCTGTAATATCCTGCGGTCAGACCCAAACTTAAATAATGCTCCTTCCTATGCTCTCCTTGCACCATCATACATGGAGCATTAATTGAGAACATCTAAAGGTGTCCAACTAAGTTTATTCTTAACTACCCACCGAGTAACGTCTCTTATGCTGATGGGCTCGTAATGCTGGGCCTGCTGCCGGTAGAATACCGTACAAAAATTAAGGACATTGTTCGATTGCTTTCGACCAATATGCGTATTATGAAAAGGGCAAGAAAACAAAATTAGTCGCTCGCATATAAATCACAAGCCTCTCAACTTTATGAACTCTATGGTACGTCAAGCAATTTTGACAAACTCGATATACGCTATCTATGTCCTGGCTTTCTATTTCTAAAGATGTAACAAACGTTTTCTATGCATACTGTGTATTAACAAGCACTAACAGGCGAAACGCTGAAATTTACCCTCGAGCGTGCACTCCCTAAGGGGATAATTGAGTGTGACAGAAGAAATAGATCCTAAAATGTCAACTATCGTCTTTGTTAAACAAATGTTTTATTTGAATCCCCTTTCACGAGTATATGTATATAAAAACAAAGAAAACAATTTTATACCCTAAAATAACTTTCAGGTCTCTTTGTGGCACCTCACAAGAATAAAGAAGTCCCAATTACTTTTCCTTTGTTTAAAGTTGGAACGTTTTATAAATATCACCGTTGATAACCACATGATCCTCGCATACCCGAAAAAAGAAATTAGAAAATACATATTGACAAGTGAAATTGAAGAACTTGAAGTTGGAAGTACCCAAAAATGTTTTTCATGCGGAAAGCCATCAGGGTTAATTTGATAAAACAAAGTAAACGAAAAAACAAAAGATAATATTTCACCATACAGCCGGGCCAGGTGCTTTTACTGTCAGCTGATGCCACCCAGGATTGAAAAGAATGATTTTTTATAAGCCCCTTATTTGCAATTTTGAAACTTTTGAGGCACGAAAATATCATGGACTCGTATGCAAATCTTTTCAGGCTGCCAAAGCAGGTACTTATGAAAACATGGGGGGTGGGGGCGGGGAGGTGGTAGTGCGTATAGAGGGTCTACAATAAATACTCATTATGAACACTAATTTCCACTGAAAGCTTTGATACATCAGGTAGTGGGCTCGGACTGCAGGTCCTACTTTTTGACATTTCACATACATGAAAACATACATCTAAATTTTCCTAGATATAGATACTCAATATTGACTTTCTTTTTTTATTGTCTTTTCAACATATCTAGCCACAATTTTACATAAATCAATTTCTTACTCTCTGTGTTAAGACCTTAACTTTTCAGCCACGATTATCCCATTTTGAAACTTTATGGTCATGAAAAATCTATCTAAATTAGGTCCAGAAGTTTCCATCTAGGAAAGCCTGTAATACTATCGTTGCAGGACCCGCAAAAAAGGTTTATTTGGGCTACAGTGTAAAAGAGTAAGTTACTTTCTCAATCAGTGCTCGGATTTCTGTGTCAAAATTTCCAGGATCGACACTTAAATATTACAGTGTGATGACGACATTTTGTATCATTCAAGTATTCTTTCTCTTATATAATTTGCTGAAAATTACACATGACCACCGTCAATATCACAGATTTCTCTGAAGTCGCAAAGGTTTTTTAAATGCATCTACACATCTCCTACGATAAGGCAACTATCCTATTGCTGCCGTTCTCTATTTATTCCGAGCAAACGTTTATGTATTTTAATTAATAACTTATGGTCCTTTCCGTTTTCAGATACCTGGACCGCTTAGCAGATTCCCTTCAGCAAAAACTTATAGTCTTAGAAAAATGAGTATCGTTCATTGAAGTGATACCTGATAAACGACAGGCGACCACCATAGAATAGAGAGACTTGGAACCTAAACTTGAAATTATCATAACTAAAACAAAAGAACTTCAAGAACAGGTAAGACAGCAAAGTTATTACTTTCAGTAGAATCTGTTGTTTTGTCGGCGGGTAGGGGAAGCACGAATTTTGTTATCAATTTGGAAATAAAAAGCCGTATACGTGTTGAATTTCGAAAATTTGACGTTTCAAGCCCTCTTGCCGATAATTTCAAGGATGAGGTTTCGTATAACCTTACTCAACCATCTCAGCGAATATTACAGTGTTTTTTGACTTCCCCTGAAATTGCTTGACTCTCAAGAATGCAACTTTTTAATTACGGACCTACAGAAGACTTTGCCAAAATTTCTTTGAAAAAGGTAAATATTTTATTCTCATTTTTATGTGTATTTTTCGACTGTGATTATAACTACTAGACTATGAACATACATAATCTGAAGTGACAGGAAGCTTAATTCTATGATGTCACGAGTATATGTAATTGAGATTATTTTAAATTCTGGATAACAGAAAGTTGTGATGGTGATAAACGTTTCTTCCATTGCAGGACCCGCAAAAAGGCTCCTTTAGGAGCCAAAAATATCAATCAAGGGCGGATCTAGGGTTTGGTCGGTGGGTCCCAACAACTCTCTTCTCTCACCATCGGACCTGTGGCATGGTGGATTTTTTTTTTTTTTTTGCTACTTGTCTGACCCCTAAATTCTTGCAACTACAAGATTGCATTTGACCTGGTTTTACCAACCAATATGAAATATCTAAAATTTACATGTCTTGATATGATTGTCAGTTTATTTAGGCTACAACGTGAAAGAGTTAGTTGCTTTCTAAATCAATGTTCGGAATTCCGTGTCAAAATTTCCAGGATCCATACCTAAATATTGCAATGTGAAATTTCAAGGATTCACACTCAGATAATACAATGTGATGACGACATTTGGTAACATTCAAGTATTCTTGCTCTTATAAAATTTGCTGAAAATAACACATGACCACTGTCAATATCACGGATTTCTCTGAGTCGTAAAGTTTTTTTTAAAGCGTCTGCACAGCTCCTACGATAAGGCAGCTACCTTATTGCCGCCGTTATATGGTCCTTTCTGTGTCGGCGGGCAGGGGAAGCACGAAGTTTGTTATAAATTTGGAAATAAAAAGCCGTTCACATGTTGAGTTTCGACAATTTGAGGTTTCAAGCAGTAGCCTAAATCGTCTGCCGGTGCAAAGGACTACAGGCTAGCGTGCAAATGGTTAACCCTTCCAAAGTCATGATTTGTTACTTAATTATTTGTTGTTTGAATCCTCGGCCTTGAACACTAAAGTAATTTGCTGGACAACGGTCATCATGAGCTAGTTATGACACATAACGCCTTAGGAAAGTAAAAGGCCAGGTCTTATTTCAGATGACTGGAGTTAAAAGCCTTTAGTAAAGATGCGCGTCTCGAGTATAGCCATGTTTCACAAGTTTGCGTGAAGGTCCTGCGTTTCACCTGTTCTGAGATAGGTCTGACGTCTGCCTCACTCTGAAAGAGGAATGGAAGTGAAGGAAACAGAAGTCCTGGCGATATACCAACCCCTACCCGTGACAGTCTATTCTGTGGCCAGTTGTCGACCCCATTTGAGTCACTTTTGGTGATACGGTAAAAAATGCTCCACCCCCAACCCCCAGGTTTATAGTTTAAGCGTCAAACTTGTGGCAGCGTTATCTAAAGCAAGTAACAGAACATTTGACAAACATAGCAGGATCAACATTGAAATCGCCCCCCCCCCCCCCCCCTTACCCTCTCGCTAGCTTTTTTGCCCACTTGAATATTACTAATTGGCTGAGTTATAACTCGCCCAGTCTCCTAGGTCCAGAGAATGGCTGCGAAGGAGACTGAAAGTAACTCATCTTCTCGCTAGTTGTTGTGACCTTTTGAAGATAGCCAATTTCAAAGGAATTTCGCTGGGACACTACCGAATTCTCAATACTATAATCAGAGTTCTGACAAAACAACAACAAAACAACTATAAATACCGAGAAAAATCAGTTTATTGACTAAAATCAACTGTGGTTATCAAAATTTACCATAGTGACTTAAATTAAGGTTATGAGCAAATACTATTCTATCAACACTAAAAACTGAGAGATCCTCTTTCTAACATGAAAATTTTCAAAACATTTAATTTCTAGTCGTTATCAAGCACAAACGTCTTTTCTCAATATGCTAATTATATTATTCTCCTCCACTTCAGTGAAAGAGCACAAGTGCCTTTTGAAAACTATACTGGATGTTGACATGAAAATAACAATCTAGCAACTAAGTAAACTTGGTATATATAACTGCTCTTCTACCCTGCATTATGGAAAAGGAAACAGATCTGGAATTATTCATCCTGACCACTGAAACGATGACTGAGTCTCGTTTTATAACGCCGCAAACTCAAACTCGGTTAACTCGAGCGTATTTCATGTATTTCAGTCATCTCTATCTGTAAAATATGTCCTTTGTTACGCTCCCCCCCCCCCCCCCCCCCCCTCCCCCCCCCTTTATACTTCAGGGAACAAACACTGATCATGGTCACATCTACAAGTCGGTATCAACCCTGTGCCGGTTTTCCATTTTGCAGGAAACCGTTAGAGGTGAATGAGAACGTTTTCCACTTGATTGGGAATCGTTACACTAAATTTAACATTTCACGAATGGGGGATTCTGGTGATAGTAACCAAGGACGCTATACGTAACACAAACCAGACCCCTTATTTTTGAGGATAATTTACAACCAGTGCCAATGGCAGAGGAAACTCAGTCGGCCCAAAGGGCGGAAAAGCCAATAATGGGCCTAACTGGTCGTATAAAAATTGAGTTTAGTTTTGTGCTGATCAAAGGAAAAAAGGGATTTCATATGAAACTTTCACAATCAATTGAAAATCACTTTTAGATATATGTAATACCGTATTTCCTCGAGGAACCACCCACACCCTAATAAGCCCCCTCCTCCAATAGGCACCACCCCCATAATATCAAACAAGCGTCCTCCTCCTTTTTTCTCACTTTTTCAAAAAGTTTGGATACGAGGAAAACCTATTTTTTTTTATTTCCACTTTATATATAACTTTATGAGCTTCAGCTAGAATAGTTTCTTAGTAAGCACCCCCCCCCCCCTTCCCCCTTTAAGTTTAAATTTTAAATAAGAGCCCGGGTGCTTATTCGAGGAAATAGGATGATTGAAATGCACAAGAATATTAAAAACTGACAGACAACTTTTTTTGTGCACGTTAAAAACAGCTGCTATGTGCTCTTCATCGGAGAAATGTAATATTTACCCAACCATGACCAGCGCTATTATAGCAACATTCATTTTGTTGATTTGTTCCATTGTTAAAAGATCCTCCCCCTCCCCCACAGGAAATATCATCATTAGCCCCGCCACTTCCCCCAGTGTAACCACCACCACCGCCCGGTCCCTTGTTGGAAAAATGTAAACCACCGCCACCTCCGAACCCACCAACAAACCCTCCACCCTTTCCCCCCTGAAGATATCCTGAACCTCCTTCTCCCTTTACTTTACCAGAGTTCGTTGCATTATGTCCATTATTATGGAAGCCGCCACCACCGCCACCTACAGTACAATCAAAAAGTGATCAGTGATTCTCTTACAAATAGCACCCACAAATTTAATTTCTTGCGATCAAACGGCGATCCACAGTGTTCCGAAATGTACTTTAGTTCTTGATATTTGGAGTTTAATAAATGGAGATTCTTAGTAATAAAAAAGTCGGTAATTAAATAAATATGCAGGAAATTTGAAAAGAAAAGAACAAAATTTAACAGAATCTTAAGTCTTGTAGGAGGCACTTCCAAAGGAATCATCAAAGAAAATCTTAATTAATAACTAAAATTAGCATTGAGAATTTTGATAATTACGGTTTTTATACATCCTTCAAATAAGCGACTAACTCTATCATTAAGTTAGAGATAGTGAAGCATGGCAGTAGAATGCAACGAATTTCTCAGTATTTATAAAAAGCAAATTCTCCACCAACCAGAATTCACACCATTAGTAAGTCCTCCTTGTCCTTCTATTCCACCTGATCCCAGTGGCGAGTTGTTCCCTGCATTCCCTGTGGTGTTTATGGACGCATCACATCCCGGATGTTGTTCTAACATATTTTTGATTCCCCCTCCACCTCCAGCTATGATTAAAGGCGTGTTGTTTCGTCTCACAACAAATGTACCTCCACCACCTCCAGCACTTTTTAAGTTTTTCTTCCCTTTTTTCCCTTCTTGACCAACAAGTATATGAATGATCTCATCTTTGGTCAAAATAAAGTTTCCAATCATTCGTGCCCCTCTTCCACCGTTCTTGATGATACTGTCCTCACCGTACCCCCTGAGGCTCCTATTGCTTCTATTCTGTATTCGCCAGTGTGTGGCACAGTCCATTGTTGAATACCGCTGGACAATGTAACTTGCCCGTCGTGATCCTGACCTGCGTAGCGACTTCCAATTTGGACTGGACCCGTAGTTCCATTCTTACCAAGAGTTGTAAACACTGCTGTAAATCCTGTATAATAATCGCAAAATGAAAGGGAAAGTTATCGTACTGCTAAGAAATTAATTGTCAAATAACTTTGGGTATTGCCAATGTTGCGCACTACCGCTTACAAAAAAGTATTCCTGTAAATTCGGCAGATATGGTTATCTTCATGACGGTATCTTCGCACTGGCTCTGGTTATGATCATAAAATCTACTTTCACCAGCAAATATGCTGTCACTCTTGCTGGTAACTCCTCGGAAACTGGTAAATTCACCAAGCTGCATAGCTTTCAACGCCGCAAAATGCAAATTCGTTCACATCTTTAAGAAGGACATCGCTCGAGTGTGTACCTTACGCTTAAGACCTAAGCATCACTGATTCCCGTGATCTCCAATGGGCAGAGCATGCAGGAGAAATAACCTCAAAGGCCAACAAGACCTTTCGTGAATCAGGCAAGTTTTCCGCGATGTCAATCACGTTTAGATAAGGAAGCTGCTTTGCTGTCCTGTGGTCAGACCCAAACTTGAATAATGCTCCTTCCTATGGTCTCTTTATTATACAGTCATACATGGAACATTAATTGAGAAAATCCAAAGTTCTCTGACTAAGTTTATTCTTAATTACCCACTGAATAACGTCTCTTATGCTGATCGGCTCGTTCTGCTGGGCCTGCTGCCGGTAGAATACTGTACAGAAATTAGGGACATTACACTCTAGTACAAGTTTAAGTCTGGTGCTATGTCCACCAGAAAAATATGGAGAGATGAGATAGAATGATATGTTACAAACAGTTACCTGTGCATTTGGTTCCATTTCCACGAAATCCATCTTTACACTTGCAGTTGTACGATCCCCGGGTATTGTTACACTCAGCATTCACATCACAGTTATGTGTTCCGTCAGCACATTCGTCCAAGTCTTGAGAATTAAAAAAGAAGCATCTTTTATACGGAACCTGTTTTTATGTCTTTATCTTGTGTTTTGTTGTGTTATTGTATTCTTGTTTGTTTACTTTAGTAGATTTTTGGGATGTTATAGTCAGCTATTTTATTCTTGTTTTCTCGTTACCATGTTCCCGTCAATAGCATAACTCCATATTCCGCATATAAACAGACACACAACCCACAATTCCTCCATTTCCTCTGATGAAGGACTAACGCTCGAAACATTAGATTTTAAACTCGTAACAATGGCCTATTTTACGCTATCAACTCACTTGATGATAACAAATTACCTTTGCAGTTAGTTCCATTTCCACACACATTGTGAGTATTTGACGTGCTCTGGCCGCAAGTGTTTTCGACTCCATGCTAACGTTCCCGTTGTCAGATAAGAAATGGCCACACATTCATTTTACTGACTACAAAAAAATTTATAGGATTCCTCACCTCTATCACAATCGTGGCCTTCAAATCCAGATCCAAAAGCACACAAACACTGATAATCTCTGTGCGTAAAGCCAGCTTGGCATGTTGCATTATTTCTGCAAGGATTACTGGCGCAAGCATTCTTAAGAAGAAAAACAATACGACCATTTAAATTTTTGTGTTTGTCTTCTGCTCGTGCATTAATGTTTGCGAGTTCTGAATGTTATGCAAGTTTTTGAAATCTGCGCGTCTTCCATCATGTCCATGTATTCCGTGCAAGCTTTTTCCCGTTCCAAGCGTGGCACTGTTCAGAGCGAGAGCAAAATCAAAAAACAGCTCCAGAAGCGGTCATTCTTAAATAACAAAATATGCCTCTCTTAATTCTTTTTTTCAAAAGTTTAAACGTTCAATTATCGTAACCTACATTCTGGTGGGTGGAAGGAGAATTTAGAGGAGTGGCAGAGGCTGAGGGATGCTTAGTCTTGCGGAAAAGCCTCAACGAGTATAAAGTCTCATACTCTTGGCTTAAAAACGTCATCCTCACCTCAGCTCCGCGGTAAATGTAACTTTCGCTTTTCACCAGTTCTCCATCGTGTTCAATGGTCGCGTTATTCAGATCACACTTGTGTGTACCAGACGCCTGTCTTAGCTTATGGAAGTTATAACTGACACAGTTAGGTTCCAGATAGCATTGTAACCTGCAGAGATCCTCGTCGAATACTTCAATAGTTCGAACCGTATGATTCTCCAACCTGTAGCCAGGTTTAGGAAAACTGGTAAACTTCAAATTGCGGAAGTTGCCTGGTGAACAATTATATTTAGAAAAATACTATTTGGCATTGAGCACCTCTACTGAGACTGGAATTGTAGAGCAGTGTTACTGCTGAATTATTGCTTTAGTTTAACACCAAGAGAATGATTTACATTAATAATCTGACTTATCATGTTTATCTTCCTTTGGTTGTGATCAGCCTTCGTGATCGATCGATTGTTCCCGAAATCCATAAACAACTTTATTAATATATAGAGTAAGTCGTGTTTATCGCGTAATAATGGTCCTCTCCTCTGAGCATGTTTGGTTCTTTTAAAAAAGGTTATTATCGGAACGTGTCGTGAATTTTTTTGTTTTATCAATTCATGAGAAGCGTTTGTTTTTAAGTCGCGTGACTTCAGCTTTCGACCATTATGCGTATTATGCAAAGCGCGAGGAAACAAAATTAGTCGCTCGCGTATAAATCACGAGCTTCTCAACTTTATGAACTCCATGGTACGTCAAGCAATTTTGACAAACTCTTTTTATACTATCTACGTCCTGGCTTTCTACTTCTAAAGACGTAACAACCGTTTTCTATGCATACTATGTATTAACGAGCACTAAAATGCGAAACGCTGAAATTTACCCTCGAGCATGCACACCCCAAGGAGATAATTGAGTATGACGGAAGAAATAAATCCTAAAATGTCAACTATCGTCTTTGTTAAACAAATATTTTATTTGAACCACCTGTTTTGCCTCAGACTAAGTTAGAACTTTCTTTCTGGGGTGGATCATTAATAACTTATGCCATAGTTCTACCAACTCGCTGGAATACACAAATTCAGTCTTCGATTTAGGTTTTTTGAAATATGAACCAAAACTTAGATCAACTTTGGAGCTGATTGTGCAAAAGAGTCAGGTTTTTCCACAGATAATATGCTAAGTGCCAAGTTTGAAGTACTGCTCTAACAATGCGTTATGTTGCTTTGCTGTGACGAATTACTAAGAATTAAAAAGCTTTGCTCCTGTATAAAGTTTTTAGTTGAACAAGCCAAGCCATTTCAGTTGAGTTCAAATAAGCCTCTCAATCTTATAGTATTCAATTCATCCATCGTGCAAAATCAAAAAAGTCGAACACGTCCTTGGACTTCAATTCATTGAAGAGACAGTGACTGTTTTATTTCTAAAGTTAACTTTGCTTTAAGATACTCCAGTAAGTGCCCCTTTTTTAATTTAGATGAAATAATTCATTACATTTGATATTAGTAGGAGAAGCTTGTGCGATTATTGTAAAGTTTAGCCGTTGTCAACAAAAAGATTTAAAAAAAAGTAACTTATCGCCTTGGTAAACTTTGAAATATACTCAAACCATAGTACTGTGGTAAAATCTTACCTTGTCTTTCCGGTATTAAGGAGGCCAAAACAATGAGAACGAAGTAGTAGAGTACAGAGAGCATGTTCTCAGAAAACACCAGTTATAACTCTGGCGAACAGCCACAGTGAGTTTTTCAAACATGAGATAAACATCACGTAAATATGACAGCTCAAGTTTGATCTCCGTTGAAATACTCCACTCCTTTATTATTTATGAGGTTCTCAGTTGTTTTCGTACTTGAATTAGTTACTTTGGGATTTTGTTGGTTGATGAGACTCGATTATGCATAATGCACGCAAAATCTTTTTTAATGCAAAACATTTATTAAGAAATTAGACCTATGCCAATCGACGAAGCGAGTAATTAACAATATCTTTAAGGAAGAGTTTTTTTGTTTTGCATAATCACCCGCAACCATCTTAGCCGATATTACAATGTGCTTCCGCTTATATCAAGTTCTGGAAAAGAATCACTCCTGATGAATAATTGTCATTTTTTGAAAAATGTACGTCAATTATTTTAAGATCTTCTGACTGCTCCTTCCAAATAAAAATTGTGTTGGAAATCCTTGAACCATAAATTATAGGCGTGAAAGAAATCTGAGAGCTGAGTGTCTGAGAATCAATCGAGGGCTTTCAAACATTTGAACAATTGATCAATGACTCTAACCACACTAAACTGACTTCGAAGAGCGCTCGCTTAACACTGGTGCTCGGGTTCTTTTTCCTTGTCATTATCCGTCATTTTTTTATGCGGATTAACGCTGTTCTTTCTGTCCCAAATGCCCGTGCAATGTGCAATGTGCTTCATGCGAAATAAAAAGTTAAGTGCGAAAATTCAGTCGGTCCAAAGAGCAGAATGAAGGGATACTGGGTCTAACTGATCATATGAAAATTCAAAATCTACACTTAGTTTTACTCTAATCAACGGAAACAAAAAAGTGATGACACGATAAACCCCCATAGTCAATTGAAAACCATTTTTTAACATGTAAGACTGGAGATACGCAAGTTCTATATAAAATATTTATCAACACTAATTCCTTTCATGTTAGTTAATGATTGATGATCAGTAGATGATTAGCCTAAAATACCTTGGCAGCTGTTTTTAACATTATGTCAACGTATAAGCGAAAGTAGTTTCCGTCTAAAATGCCCCTCACACTAGGAAAACTTTGCACTCACAAAAACGGGGTCTTTACCGCACAGCTTTCAAAGTTCCATTGCACCAACACAATAAGTCAACGCATTAAGAGAGACACCGAGGGAGGTGGGGTTCTGCTCACCAGGCTCCCCTAGGTTCCATTTTACGTTCCATTTTAGGATCCATTTCCATAAAAACCGTCTTTTCAAGTGCAGTTGTAAGGCTAAACCCAAAATTTTGACCAAGCGATGGAGGGATTCAGACCTAGTACGAGGAGGCTAACGAATGGCTTCCAAACAAACTTCAACTATTTGAAGTTGGGTCCCCATTACATGTTTTACTCCGCAAGGACCTTCAGTCAAGGATGGTTTTGTGTGCTACAAAACTAAGAGAGGAGTATAAACGAGAAGTAAATTTGATTTAAATCAAGAAATCTCCAAGAAATACAAGAACAGGCCGGTGAATATTATGGGTGAAATAAACACTATAAACAGGCTGTTTATTTCATGTTTACTGAGTTGTCGTCTCTGGTGTTTAAATTTAAGTTAAATTAAATACAACTACAGCATTGTCAAAAAAACGCTCAAAATAATTTTGTCATTCATTTCGTTAAATTCGCGGTATTTACATATAACGTATCACAGAGAATGGATTTTTTAGTTCTACAATAGCTGGACAAATGCCCCGTGTATTAATTCTTGGACAAATAAAAAGAGAAGTATATTATGATGTAATGATTAGAGATTTATTGTTTAAGCGTCGAACTTGTGGCGGCGTTATCTAGAGCAAGTAACATAGAACATGTGACATACATTGCAGGACGCTAGCTTTTGTGCCCACTTGAATGTCACTAATTGCAAAGGAACTTCAGAGTTATGGCAGAGTTATAGGTCGCTCAGTCTCTTACGTCCAGAGAATGGCGGCGAAGGAGACTGAAAGTAACTAATCTTCTCGCTAGTTGTTGTGACCTTTTGAAGACAGCCAGTTGCAAAGGAATTTCGCTGGGACACTACAGAAGTCTCAACACTATAATCAGAGTTCTTACAAGACAACAACAAAACAAATATAAATAGCGACCAAAATCAGTTTATCGACTAAAATCAACTATGGTTATCAACATGTTACCAAAGTGACTTAAATTAAGATTATGAGCAAGTATTATTCTGTCAACATTAGAAAATGAGAAATCCTTTCTGTAATTCTTACAAAGCAATTTTCTAAGTTTTTTTAAAAATGAAAATTTTCAAAACATTTAATTCCCAGTCGTTATCAGGCACAAACGTCTTTTCTCAATGTGCCAATTATAGCATTCTCCTTCACTTTAGTGAAAGAGCACGAGAGCCTTCTGAAAAACTTTTCTAGATGTTGACATAAACATAACAATCAAACAAATAAATACAATTTTACGTAAAATTGAATGTGCCATCACCCTAGTATATATAACTGCTCTTCTACCTTGCATTATGGAAAAGGAACAGATCTTGAATTATTCATTCTGAACACTGAAACGATGACCGAGTCTCGTTTTAGAACGCCGCAAACTCAAACTGGGTTACCTCGAACTTATTTCATGTATTTCAGTCATCTCTATCTGTAAAATATGTCCTTTGTTACCCTCTTCCCCCCCCCCCCCTTTATACTTCAGGGAACACAACATTGATCATGGTCACATCTACAAGTTGGTATCAACCACGTGCCGGTTTTCCATTTGCAGTAAACCGTTAAAGGTGAAAGATTGACTGGGAATCGTAACACGACATTTAACATTTCACAAATGGGGAATTATGGTGATAGTGACCAAGGACGCCATACATAACACAAACCGAACCCATATTTTTGAGCTCAAGGATAATTTACAACCAGCGCCAATGGCAGAGCATGGCTAGAAATCGAGGTCAGTCAGCGGCTGATGTCGCGGACGCAACACGAGCTGCGTTTCACCTTACAGCATAGACTAAAGAGGGACTTTCAATCCCCAACTTCCATTTTAAAAATGAATAAAATGGAGGTGTATCAGACATTTTGCAGCGCTGATAACTTCTTTATCATTTTCTTTCCGAGATATTGCTTGAGAAGATTTTAAAATCTTGTCCAAGTAAGAAGCTTACTATTTTGTTTTTGAAGTCAAATTTTTTTTGCGCCAATGCTGCAATCTATGTCAATCTTTGAGCCTTCAGTAGCTGCCCTGTTGTGGTATTGTCCATAACAGGCTAGGTTACTATGTTTTTACAAAATGGCGATCGAAGAGTTCTTTGATATGTTTTCAGATCTTATAATTTTAGTTTTTGAGTCAACGTCTCTACTGGGAACAAGACCCATAAGAAAAAAAAAATTTTTGGACTTTTGGAAGTCGTTTAGCAGCGTGGATTCACACTTTTATGACTTCAAATAGCCTACAATTAGAAGGTCGGCTTTCGAAGAGATCGAATAGACGTGGGCAATTGATAAAACAACCCTTGTTGTGGCTGCAGAAGAAGCTTTAGCTGACCAACATAAGCCATTTTAAGACACTTAGATCACCAAAAAGGTTTAAAGTTTCTTCGACTGGGGCAGATCGTCGCGAAATTGTAAGAGTTTGAGAACGGAGGTGAGTGATCTGGACACTCTTCTAATACATTTCAGACGAGGGCATTTTTAGTACACGCTTGCAGAAAATTACTGTGTCTGATTTTCAAAATTTTCCCACAGAAAGCCTTATGTAGCCGCCATATTTAAACTCCGTAATTTGTCTTTTATGCGCATGCTTAGCCCCATGATGTCTTCGATTTCTAGCCATGGGAAACTCAGTCAGGAAAAACAAAGATAATGGGCCTAACTGGTCGTATGAAAATTGAAAATTGAGTTTAGTTTTGAGCTGATCAAGGGGAAAAAATAATTGCATAATAAACTTTCACAGTCAACTGAAAATCATTTTTTAGATATACGTAATACTGTATTTCCTGGAGTAACCACCCACGCCCTAATTAGCCCCCTCCCCCGATAGGCGCCACCCCCTAGATCATAATATCAAAAAAGTGCCCCCCTCCTTTTTTCTCACTTTGTCAAACCATTTCCATTTTATATATATATTTTTAAGCTTCAGCTTGATTAGTTTCTTAGTAAGCGCCCCCCCACCCCCCCCCCCCCTTTAAGCTTAAATTTTAAATAAGAGCCCAGGTGCTTATTCGAGGAAATAGGGTGATTGAAATGCATAAGAATATTAAGAACTGACCTACAACTTTTTTTTGTGCACGTTAACAAGAGTTGCTATGTACTCTTCATCGGAGAAATGTAATGTTTACCCAACCATGACCAGCGCTATTATTGCAATATTCGTTTTGCTGATTTGTTCCATTGTTGAAAGATCCTCCCCCTCCCCCACAGGCTATATCATCATTAGCCCCGCCACTTCCCCCAGTGTAACCACCACCACCGCCTGGTCCCTTGTTGACTGTATGTAAACCACCGCCACCTCCGAACCCACTAAGAACTTTTCCACCCTCTCCCCCCTGAAGATATCCTGAACCTCCTTTTCCCCCTCCTCCACTAGAATTCGTTGCATTATGTCCATTATTATGGAAGCCGCCACCACCGCCACCTACAGTACAATCAAAAAGTGATCAGTGATTCTCTTACGAATAGCAGCCATAAATTTAATTTTTTACGATCAAACGACGATCCGCAGTGAGATTCTTAGTAATAAAAAGCTTATGTGGACAAGTCAGCGTAAAAATGCTGCAACTAATTATTTATTTAGTGCCTCTGTTTAATCTAGATCTTACTCTATCATTAAGTTGGAGATGGTGAGGGATAGCAGTAGAATGCAACGAGTTTCTCAGTATTTATAAAAAGCAAATTCTCCACCAACCAGAATTCACACCATTAGTAAGTCCTCCTTGTCCTTCTATTCCCCCTGATCCCAGTGGCGAGTTGTTCCCTGCATTCCCTGTGGTGTTTATGGACGCATCACATCCCGGATGTTGTTCTGACATATTTTTGATTCCCCCTCCACCTCCAGCTATGATTAAAGGCGTGTTATTTCGTCTCACAACAAATGTACCTCCACCACCTCCAGCAGTTTTTGAGTTGGTCCTTCCTTTTTTCCCTTCTTGACCAACAAGTATATGAATGATCTCATATTTGGTCAAAATAAAGTTTCCAATCATTCGTGCCCCTCTTCCACCGTTCTTGATGATACTGTCCTCGCCGTACCCCCCTGAGGCTCCTATTGCTTCTATTCTGTATTCACCAGTGTGTGGCACAGTCCATTGTTGAATACCGCTGGACAATGTAACTTGCCCGTCGTGATCCTGACCTGCGTAGTGACTTCCAATTTGGACTGGACCCTTAGTTCCACCTTTACCAAGAGTTGTAAACACTGCTGTAAACCCTGTATAATAATCGCAAAATGAAAGGGACAGTTATCGTACTGCTAAGAAATTAATTGTCATATTGCTTTGGGTATTGCCAATGTTGCACACTACCGCTTACAAAAAAGTATTCCCGTAAATTCGGCAGATATAGTTATCTTCATGACGGTATCTTCGCACTGGCTCTGGTAATGATCATAGAATCTACTTTCACTTTCAGACATGCTGTCACTCTTGCTGGTAACTCCTCGGAAACTGGTAAATTCACCAAGCTGCATAGCTTTCAACGCCGCAAAATGCAAATTCGTTCACATCTTTAAGAAGAAAACTCCTGGTTGACCTTGATGGACATCGTTCGAGTGTGTACCTTACGCTTAAGACCTAAGCATCACTGATTCCCGTGATCTCCAATGGGCAGAGCATGCAGGAGAAATAACCTCAAAGGCCAACAAGACCTTTCGTGAATCAGGCGAGTTTTCCGCGATGTCAATGACGTTTAGGTAAGGAAGCTGCTGCGCTGTCCTGTGGTCAGACCCAAACTTGAATAATGCTCCTGCCTATGGTCTCTTTATTATACAGTCATACATGGAGCATTAATTGAGAAAATCCAAAGTTCTCTGACTAAGTTTATTCTTAATTACCCACTGAATAACGTCTCTTATGCTGATGGGCTCGTTCTGCTGGGCCTGCTGCCGGTAGAATTCCGTACAGAAATTAGGGACATTACACTCTTGTACAAGTTTAAGTCTGGTGCTATGTCCACCAGAAAAATATGGAGAGATAAGATAGAATGATGTGTTGTAAACAGTTACCTGTGCATTTGGTTCCATTTCCACTAAATCCATCTTTACACATACAGTTGTACGATCCCAGGGTATTGTTACACTCAGCATTCACATCACAGTTGTGTGTTCCGTCAGCACATTCGTCTAAGTCTTGAGAATTAAAAAAGAAGCATCTTTTATACGAAACCTGTTTTTATGTTTTTATCTCGTGTTTTGTGGTGTTACTGTTTCTCGTTTGTTTGCTTTAATTAATTTTTGAGATCTTACAGTCAACTATTTTATTTTTGTTGTATCGTTACCATGTTCCCACCAATACCGTAACTCCATATTCCGCATATAAACAGACACAACCCACAATTCCCCCATTTGCTCTGACGAAGGACTTACGCTCGAAACTTTAGATTTTAAACTCGCAACAGTGGCCTATTTTACGTTATCAACTCACTTGATGATACCAAACTACCTTTGCAGCTTGTTCCATTTCCACGAAATCCATCTTTACACGTGCAGTTGTACGATGCCAGGGTATTGTTACACTCAGCATTCACATCACAGTTGTGTGTTCCGTCAGCACATTCATCCAAGTCTAGAGAATTAAAAAGAAGCATCTTTTGTGCGGAACCTGTTTTTATTTTGTTATCTTGTGTTTTGTGGTTTATTGATTTCTCGTCTGTTTCCTTTAAGAGATTTTGGGATGTTATAGTCAGCTACTAATTTCTCGTTACCATGTTCCCGCCAATACAGTAACTTCATATTCCGCATATAAACAGACACAACCCATAATTCCCCCATTTGCTCTGACGAAGGACTAGCGCTCGAAACTTCAGATTTTAAAATCGCAACAGTGGCCTATTTTACGTCATCAACTCACTTGATACAACTAAATTACCTTTGCAGTTAGTTTCATTTCCTTGAAATCCATCTTTACAGATGCACTTGTAAGATCCCAGGGTATTGTTGCACTCCGCATTCTCATCACAGCCGTTTGTTTCACCAGAACACTCATCTATGTCTGAGACAACAAAATGAGCGCCACATTTATGTAAGGGTTTGTGTGTATTTGACGTGCTCTGGCCGCAAGTGTTTTCGCCTCCATGCTAACGTTCCCCGTTGTCAGATAAGAAATGGCCACACATTCATTGTACTGACTACAAAAAAATTTAGAAGATTCCTCACCTTTATCCCAATCGTGGCCTTCAAATCCAGATCCAAAAGCACACAAACACTGATAATCTCTGTGTGTAAAGCCAGCTTGGCATGTTGCATTATTCCTGCAAGGATTACTGGCGCAAGCATTCTTAAGAAGAAAAAGAATATGACCACTTCAATTTTTGCGCTTGTCTTCTGCGGTTGCATTCATGTTTGCGAGTTCTGAATGTTATGCATGTTTGTGAAATCTGCGCGTCTTCCCTCATGTCCATGTATTTCGCGCAAGCTTTTTTGTTATTTACGCAAATGTTTGTGTTGAGCACATTTGTTCCC